CACGTCAGTATTAATATAATATAAGGTACGCTAATTATTGATCCGGACAAATAAGATGCAAGTCATTTTCACCACCTCACGGGTCGCTTTCGTTTCCTAGTAATACGTAAAGGACACAAACTCGACTTTCCCTAGGTATAACAGAAACTTCAGCTCATCCCCACTAAGAGATTGGCTGATTCACGATCACTATTATTAGCATGGCATCGCACTGTGTTGCATATTCTAATCGTAATCAACCATGATTTGATGGCAGCCTTTTCCTTCTTCCTTCTCGAAAAGGAAAACTGATGGTGCCTTCTACATTCAGGTTGTCAAAATACACAGCTAAAATAGAACTGATCGAGGGCAAATACTTGTCTAATTCGGGCGGGACAGAGAAGCATAGCGCAAAGGGAATTCTGTGGTCTTCATGGAGTGAATCTGTAGCCTATGAGAGAGAGAGAGAGAGAGAGAGAGAGAGAGAGAGAGAGAGAGAGAGAGAGCATGTACCATTTGGTCGATAGATTCTTCCTTACCTTGGACAAAAAATTTATCCTTAAAAGGTGAAGCAATGATGTTTGTTGATGAACCATCAACACCCACATATTAAAATGTCATATGAATCCACTTGAGGAAAAACTAATTGCTCTGCAATTTGCCTTTACAGATGGGTATGGACAGTTAGCATTTGTGTATTAGCTGCTTTTGAAGAGCACTACAGACATGGTGTGTCAACTTATAGTATAACAGCTTAGCATGTGAAGAAAGAAGTGAGAGTGGGATGCGCTTTTGCCTTTCCAAGTGCTTTGAACATAAAAAGACTAGTAGGAATCAAAAACAATAATGTTGCATGTTCCTCTAAAAGAAAGAATTAGGTAAAGATGACCAAATAATAATGAACTCGAAAAGATGCAACAACCTTATGCACCATGGGCATACTTTTTTCCACAACAAGACACATGTAAGTTAAGAATAGGGCTGGATAATCATTGCAAAAAAAGGTTGGATATACCGTATTTAAAACTTATTTCAAAGGTATTCATTACGTGAATAAAATTTATAAGGGATGATTGTGCAAAAAATCTTAAATCTATCGTATTGCAGCCAATTCAGTCTTAAACATTTTAATTGTGCAGATTTAGTCCCAAACCTTTGGACAACTAATTTAGTCATAAACCTTTCAATTGTGTCAATTTAGTTCTAAACCTTTTGACGATTTATCAATTTAGTCCTAACATCTTGATGACTTGCCAATTTAGTTGTTCCAACCAATCTTGGCTTGAAATCGCTAATTTGGACGCCGGTCGGCAGCTAACCATCCTACATGACGTGGCCGGCGTTGACATTGATAATTTTTAATTTTTTTCTTTCCCTTTAGCCTGTGGTTGGTACTCAGCCTTGGTTAGTGACCGACCACAAGCGAGGGTCCCTCTTGACAAATTTTGGGAGGTCTCGACTCTCGCAACGTAGGCGAGGGCTGCCCTTATGGCCTTTGCCGAGGGTCGAGCCCTCACCAAATTTGGCGAGAGTAGCCCTCGCCCAAGCTATGAGAGTTGAGCCCTTACCAGATTTGGCGAGAGCCACGACACCCTCACGTGACCCTTGCCTGTGGTAGGGAAGGGAAAGAAAAGGAAAAAAAAAAGAACGAAAAAAAGGGAAAAAGATTTAAAGAAATGCAAAATTTGTCCACGTTAGCATCGGTCATGCCACGTAGGATAGCCGGTAGCTGACCGGCATATACGTTAGCGATTTCCAATCAAAATTGACTAAAATGACTAAACTGGTAAGTCGTCAAAAGATTTAGCACTAAATTGACAAATTTTCAAAATGTTTATGACTAAATTGGCACAATTGAAAGGTTTAGAACTAAATTGGCAAGTTATCAAAATGTTTATAACTAAATTAGCACAATTGAAAGGTTTAGGACTAAATTGGCCACCGTAAAATAGATTTATGAATTTTTGGACAATTTTCCCAAATTTACTAATATCTAAGCATTTCTATTGATGTGTCTTGCTTTTCAAATTCATAGTGAGTGCATTAGAGAGCATAGCACATCTCTATAAATAAAGAAATCACTCAAGCAATGGAAATTGTAAAAACAAAAGCCCGTAATTGTTTGTTTCTTTGCCTTGGTCAATGGCTTGTTTTTGCCTAGACAAGATCTACCATAGAACGAGTGATCGGTCATGAGATGTGCAGTCCATATGGGTACCTGCCAAATTAAACCAATGGCTCAAATCACTGGGTCCATACTCACAATGGACCAATCATAGGCAAGATCTACCATAGAACGAGTGATCGGCCATAAGATGTGCAGTCCATATGGGTACCTGCCAAAACCAATGGCTCAAATCATTGGTCCATACTCACAATGGACCAATCATAGGCAAGGACTTTAGTACATAACAAATTTTCAAGGCCTACCTCATCGCATCCAAATTGAGAGACGTGCCGGCTATTCACGGGACGTGAGAAGGAGGCGGGGCGCGAGACAACTCTCTCTGAGGAACTCGGCAAAATTGCGGTGGTCATGCAGGCCCATGATGACCGTAGAGATGAGCAGCCTCCAGACTCTAACATCTCGGTTTGGGCTAAAAGAAAGAGCTTCTAACAACGGCCCTCGGGCGTGTGCTAATGTTAATGTTGGGCCACAAAGTTCAATGTCTCATTGTCAATGGGACACATCATCGTATCAACACTCTCCCTATTGTTTTCTTCTACTAGGATTTTAGTGGGGACAAAGATCTAAGGAAATAGATCCTGGGCCGAGCCCAGTTAAGAATTTGGAAAATTTCATGGGCAAACCATGTATCATTCCATAGGAATGCATGAATCGAACCGACCCGAAAAGAATCGAATTGAACCGACCCGTTCTAAATAAAGTGAACGGAAATCGCCTGGACATGATTTTCGATGAAAAGTGTAATCAAACTTAATCGAAGTATAACGTGAAACTCAACCAAACCCATCCTTTCTTGTCTACTTTATTCGATTCCAATTCAATCGAGACCAGTTTCTCCTTTTCATTGTTATATTCATTAACCTAGACAGACTTGTAATAGCTCACTAAGAGCACTACTATCACAACAAAAACACGATGCAAGTCACGATAAATCAAATAATGAAAATGAAAATCGAAGCCGCTTCAAATATAAATGGCAAAAGACTAAACAAAAATACACGCGACTCAACTTTCCCATTCCGGTTCATTTGGTTCCCCACAAGGAGACCAACCCAAAACACACGCAAGAGAAAAGTCTTATTAAATCCAACCAAACCATAGAAAAGAAGAAAAAGGGTTTGTTGTGATTGAATTCAATGACATAATTTCGCGAAAATTAGACTAAAGCATTTGTTAATATGATCTATATTAAGGGAAATTTACGTAAAAAGCCCTTGCGTGATTCTTCCGGTTACTCATTCCTTCCATCGATAAAAATCTATCCGTCAAATCAATAGATCGCACGATCAATGTGTAACTCTCGATTAAAAAACGAAAAAGAGAGAGTGGAAGCCGCAGTTTCTAGAGTCACAAGTTTAGAAGCAAATGATATGCCTTTCGTTATTCCCCCTACCCCACCACCACCACCACCACCTTCCCCGACTCGCTCAACCTTAAATTTCACTCTGATTCTCGCTCCCGTTCAACACGATTCCGGACATGCTCCTCGGCAACGCGAAGCCTCCTTTTGATTCCCCTCCCCAGGCAAGCATGAGTTCCACAGATTAACACCAAAAAGGTTGAAAGAAAGAAAGAAAGACGGACATCTTTACCACAGTGAAGTTAACAGACTTGATTGGATTTCGTCTACAAATCTCTTTCTGATCTTGATGATAACGTCATAGGTAGAAGCACATCATCATCAACGATAGTACTAAAACAAACATCATCCCACCCTTTCTTAAAAACCCATCGATGATCTGATGTTTTTAACTTAGGCAAGTCCATCTTTCACTATTGGTCATTGTACTTACCTTATGGCTTTTGCATTGTCATTACGGCATCCCCTTTTTTCGCTTTAGCTATAAAAGTGGTATTCGGGCCACCTTTCGTGTAACTCTCGGTTGATCCACCCGACCTTCTTGCTTATATAAAAGAAGCTCCTAATTTACGGGCGATGGTAAACTTTTACACTATATTATATCAATTTGCTTACTTATCGCTTTTGACCTGCTAACTATTTACGCGCTTCTATCTTTACATGCGCCATCACAAAAAACATCTGAACAGAGCCTCACATCAAGAAAAAACCAAATTCCCCTCCTCGCGACTCGTTCTAACATTAGCCGGTTTCGACTTTCGAGCGCGTTGGGCGAGAGAGAGAGAATTCAGGGTTTGTGGGATGGGCATTTTTTAGAGGAAAATGACATTTTCATAAATCGGGATACGATCCAAATCGACGTGAATGAGAATGCGCATATGAAGGAAAAAATAAACTTGGATAACTATTTCGTATCTTCGCATACAAGCGGGACCTTGAGCGAAAAAGCAAAAGACCAATTTTGGTAACCCGCCGTTTCCATAGCATGTGTAACACGTTATAATACTGCGGTACTGCCCATGGAATCCTTCAATAAAAAGAAGGGAAAAGGGCTTCCTAATTTCACCAAAAAGCGAGAAAAGAAAAATCTCCCAAAGAAGAAAGAACGAACACAAAAAAAAGGAAAAAGGGAAAATGACACACACACACCCGCACGACACTGTTGCCTCTTCTAGAGAAAGCCGCAAAAGGCAAACCCTCACGCTATCTTCCTCTCCCCCGTCCCCACCCGCACCCCGGCTTTTCATGGAAAACTCCCTTCCGAGATTTAAAAAAAAATAACAAAGTAAAGAAAAACCCAAATTAAAAAAAAAAAAGAAAAAAAAGAAGAAGAGGAAAACGAAAGAAAACGCACAACAACAAGAGAAGAAAGTGCAGAAGCGCAATTGAAATCCCCCCCAAAGTAGTAGTTGTTGTTTTGCTTCCATAAAGAAACCCTTTCTTCTTCCCCCCGCCCCCACACGACTCCCCCCAATTTCATCTCCGATTAACCCTAATCCCCTCTTTCTCCCCACCTCCATCTCCATGGTCGATTCCGTTCGACGCGGCTGATTCCCCGGCGTTTCCCTATCCCGAATCCTCCTCCCGCCCCCGCCGCCGCCGCCGACGCCGCGGAATCCTCGTCCGACGTCGACGCGCGCGCGCTCCACACCCCTCCCGCACCCCAACCCCCCCCGGCCGTGATCGATGAAAAACCCGAAGGCCGGGGCGAGATTCGTCGCATAGCATGCATGTATTGGGATTCACGCTGGATCTGTATTGGTTCCTGCAGCTCATCTTCACCGCCTTCCTCATCTCCTTCGGGCTGATCCAGCTCCTCAAGAGCACCGCCTCCAAGTACTTCGAAGTCGAGGCCGGTTTCGAGGGCGCCCCCCCGACGAGTTTCCACGCCGACCGCGGGAGGACCATGCCCGGCGCCCCCCTCGAGGCCGCCCGCTGCGTCGTCTGTGGCGACGACGGCCCCAAGAAGTGCTCCCGCTGCAAGGCCGTTCGGTATTGGTGAGTTGTTCCCCAATCCCCCCCGCGGCCCGGTTTTGGTTTCGAATGTAATTTGCGTTGGATAGGGGGGGTCTTGCTCGTTTCCAAATACTGTCCTCCTCCTTATTCTGCGGTTGCAATTCGAATCGAAGGCTTCTAAGTAGGGATTTTTGTCCGTAAAGATTCAATTGTTCTTTTTTTTATCAGTTTGTGAGATTGCAATGTGCATATAAAGCGGGTTAAAGGTCGTACGTGTTTTTAGGTATCCATGGATTTGTGGAATTGATTGGCAATACTAATAGCAAACTGTTTGTTTCTTCTTTCTTTTTCTTTTTTTTTGGTTGCTGCAGTCCTTGTATGAGTAGAACGACAGTACGACTGCTAGTTGGTGTAATATTTATGGGTTATTTGTTCCTGCAAATCCTCGTTTCTTCGTTAAGATTCCAATCGAGTCGGTATTTTGATGCTGGGGACTCATAGTTAATCAAGATATTATCCTTGTTCACTCCAAATTGTCGTGCTAGTTTTAGGTACTTGTTGACTATATCGAGCTTAATCAATTTTGCCATCGTAAAGAGATTAATGGGTGGGACGTCCAAATTCATCAAGTCGGTGCATGGAGAAGCCAATGATTGAATGCCCATATCTGGTGTGCTCCAAGCTTTCGTTCCATATTTGTACATTATTATGGGTGGGCCTTTGTGTATATAGGTTTAAAATGGATCTTAGGATGCCTATATCTTATATTCGATCGTTGCCAAATTTGTTAGTGCTGGGTTTGTTGGATGGTCTTTGATACTAATGGTGTTGAGATGATTCAAACGGTTTAAAAAATACTCTTCATGCAGCTCCCAAACATGCCAAACAGCTCATTGGAAAAGTGAGCATAAGTCAAAGTGCAAAGTTTTCCAGGCATCGTCTAAGGTAGTTTCTGCAGATGCTTCCCCGGTCACCCAGAATGGAACTCCCAAGCCAATTAAACGGTTAAAAAAGGTGACTTGTTGGTATACTCTTTTTAATTCGTGCCTCTGCAATAAAAGATTATTCCTTTTTGACTAAACAGTTCTGATTGGCTCTTTAATTTCAGATTCTCTTCCCATATAAGGAATTTGTGGATCTTTACAACTCCGAAAAAGCAGGATTTCCTCCATGTGGACTGATAAATTGTGGAAACAGGTTCACATATGGCATGTGATTTCACTTTGTTGGAGCTTTAAATCCAAGATATTTAATTTTGCCAACCAGCATCCATAAAACAAAAAAATAGTTCGTGTCTGTGCTATACTAATTATCCTCAAACTATCCTTGCGCAGTTGCTTTGCTAATGTGGTTCTACAATGTCTTGCATCCACACGGCCGCTTGTTGCCTACCTTTTGAATAAGGGCCACAGGAAAGAATGTAGGTTCCTGAATTTGATTGGAGATATATTCTCCGTTTACAGTATTTTAGCCGAGGTCAATTGTTGATGTCACGATTGCTGGTACTTGTCAGGCCGACGTAATGATTGGTGCTTCCTATGCGAATTGCAGAGCCATCTTGAAAGAGCCAGCCAGAGTCTTCATGCTTTTTCACCAATCAACATTTTGTCACGGTTGCCGAATATTGGTGGTAATCTTGGTTATGGAAGGCAGGAGGATGCTCATGAATTTATGAGGTTTCCTGCAATGTTACTTCAATTTAATTTTATTTTGTGGTTTGAACCAGTGAGTACATGAGAGACACATTACCTCTCAGCATCATTGGTACATCTGATTCTTAGCTATGGTCAAAGTTTACCCTCTTTATGCAGGTTTGCCATTGATACAATGCAGTCGGTCTGCCTAGATGAATTCGGTGGTGAAAGAGCTGTCCATCCAAGTGCTCAAGAAACAACCATTATCCAGCATATGTTTGGCGGTCACCTGCAATCTCAGGTAATGCATTTAAATCCAATCCAGGCTGTTTTGTTTCTTCTTGTTTGATACTGTAAGTATATTTTAATTTGGTCCAGGTCCTAAGTAAGCTGATTTTTTCGTTCATGCTAACAGTTGCCATTAGACCCGTCAAATGGGTGGGTCGGGTCGGGTCGGATCGAAAATGGTCCGACCCAAATTGATCCATTTTCATGCAATACAAATCTAGTGATCCATTCTTGACCTGGCCCATACCCAACCCATACCCGATCCGACTCATAATGCTAAAACACTTTCATGTTTAACCCAATCTAGGAAAAACTCATAGACTGAGGTGAGAGCATGGAGGGAGGGAGCGCAAGGGCAAGAGAGAGTAAAGAGTTATAGAGGTGGGTTTGGTCTAAGTAAGTTGTAAAGCCATTTAACACTCATATTATTTTGGGCTTTACTATTCTAAGCCCATTATGACCTATTACTGAATATAACTAACCCATATAACAATTTAACCTATCAGATATGAGTTAAGAAATGGGTTTATGAACCATTTTGACAGATCTAGTTGCCATTTAATTGCCAAAGACGTATATCTTGGTCGCATCTACTTCCCAATCATGCTGATGCTTTTATTCCTGCTACCTGTCTTACACAGAATTAAATCCCTTTATATTTCTTCAAATGAGACTGATGTATAACTTAGGTCTGATTGTTTGACTTTGTGTTGTCATTGTTTATTTCCAGGTTATCTGCGCAAATTGCAATAAAGTCTCAAACCAGTATGAGAATATGATGGATTTAACCGTTGAAATTCACGGTGATGCTGGGTCTTTGGAAGAATGCCTAGAGCAATTTACTGTCAAAGAATGGCTCCATGGGGATAATATGTATAAATGTGACGGGTATGGTTGTTTTCTGTCTTCTCGGATACTTTATGTCCTGCCAATTATTTCCATATAAGTTCATGTACCAAATGAATTAAGAGGAGGAGATTAGTGGCTTTTACTGGCTATTCTTCTCTCTATGGTAACCTGTTGAGGCTTTTCATTGGCTGATTATGCCTCTCCATTTTGCAGATGTAATGACTATGTGAAGGCGTGGAAGCGTCTAACTGTACGACATGCTCCAAACATTCTAACAATTGCCTTGAAAAGATTTCAGGTCTGTATTGTTACTTCTTGTTCAACTATGCAGGCTTGAGTATATAATGTTTACATGGTTTAGCATGGACATCTTAGCTGAATTTCTTATATGTTTACATGATTTCCTTGGGCATTACCCATTCAGTTATAATGTGTTTCTTAGGTTATGGAAGGTTGCTAACATCGATTTCCACCTCGAGTGATTTTTTGAATTTTGACAAATATTGATCAGAAGATATGGGGAACCGGGGGATGCTAGTGATAAATTTATTTTATTCCAGATAAAATTTTAAGTGGTTCTCATGGTTTTTCTCCCCAGATTTTTAGTTGACCATTGTTTTGGTCCTCATAATTTATACCCAAAGGTTTCTTTTCCAGCTAGCTGAAGACAGAGATTACATTTCTGCATGTCATGATGCACTAAATGCAAAATTTAAAGGGTCATACTTACGTGCAGCATTCAAATTGTCTCTCAGAAATGTGCCGTCTGGGATTTCACAAGCACATTCCTAGTTTCAAATAGTTTGCATGTAATGTTATGGTTCTTGGCTCGGTTTATCTGTTGAAACTTTCATGTCATGCATTTAAAGTCTTGTTGCTTAAACCTGCTTCATGCAGGCTCTTGTCTATATTTGTTTCCCGTAATGCTAAACAAAGATTTTATTCTTCTATAAATCGATTTGTTCTAATGCCGGAAATGGATTCTATAAAATTTCAAATAAGGGTCATCCCTTTTGCATGCTTGTTTAAGGATAATTATGTTCTCTTATTGTAAAATTGTATGCATCAGTATAACTGAACGACTAATTACAGTAAAAGATGGGCAATACTTTTAATCAACCAAAAGTCTATCTTGAGCTATGAGGTTCGAAATCCAAATTAAAATGGAGTTTAAAGAATCTAGCTGCAACCAAGTACAAAATTAAAATATGCAATGGCATACAATAGGTAATCATGCAACTTGTTGAAATTTTTTGAAAATTCATATAATTTGCTTCCACCTATTAATCTATGAAATGATATGTTGAGCAATTTGAAAATACAGGACTTTCGATAATTTTCACTTTTTTAATAGTTCTGTTGAGAGGAATTTTTATGTTGTAATTACCGGGAGTGAACAACTTTGTGTTGATATCAAAATGCACAAATTAAAGTTGAGTAACTTCATTTTAGCCATTGACATAATTTAAGTAAATACCTAAGTGAAACACATATCGCACTTAATGGCCACCGTGTTCATTATATTTTCTAAATAGAGAAATTTCCTTTTATTATTGCAATCTTCCAAACGTGGCCCACGTAGGACCAAATGGACCAATCAAAAAACGACATGTGATGAATTCTGGTGCACGCCCGGGCCTTCTCTCTTGGTGCTCCACTTTAGTGTTTTTAAAGATTTTATATGGACTAGATATTATAAGTTTCTGGATAGTTATCTTTAGGAGTTTGATGAGAAGATTGTTGAGAACTTATGTGACTGAAATATGCTTATTCTTTTCGGTTCTTTAGTTAGATTAGCAAGCCTTACCTGTGATATTAAAGTTGTTGGTGAACTTATGCAGAGTGGTAGGTTTGGGAAACTCAATAAGAAAGTGAACTTCCCTGAGACTCTAGATCTTAGCCCTTACATGAGTGAAGGAGGAGATGGCACTGATGTCTACAAGCTTTATGCGGTTGTTGTCCACGTGGATATGCTGAATGCGTCCTTCTTTGGTCACTATATTTGCTACACAAAGGATTTTTCTGGAAATTGGTATAGAATTGATGACTGTAAGGTGGGGACATCTCTCTCTCTCTCTCTCTCTCTCTCTCTCTCTCTCTCTCTCTCTCTCTCTCTCTCTCTCTCTCCCTTTTTCTTAGTTATGCTAAGAAATTTTACAGGAAGATTTTTGAGTCACTGCCCAATCATCTCATCATTCAAAGCCAACAAGTTTTTCTGGACAGATATGATTTTAGTTCCAAATTTCGCTGATTTCTTGGGTTCTATCAAATGGCTAAAGGCTTGTAACATGATAAATTTAAAATTGTCGTCCTTCTGCTACACATTTACTTGGTGAAATGCTGTTCAATGAATTGCGCTTTCTTAATATAATCTTGTAGATGATGTACTATAGAAATCGTCTTCATGCCCTTAGGCACGGCCATACATAACATAGAAATCACACTTGGAAAGGGTGGACAATTAGCTAGAGCAGCGGGTGCTGTAGCGAAACTGATTGCAAAAGAGTGATCCGACGGTGCTGAGTGGAAAGGCCGTCGCTCAACACTGGGCCAATTTACCTATTGCAAGTCCCCCTACCTGATAATATATTCAAATTTATTTTGGTTTTAACTCTGCAACTTTGGCAGGTTACGAGCGTTGGATTTGACGAGGTGCTTTCACAGGGTGCATATATGCTCTTATACAGTCGGTAGGCCTCTCTTTAGCAAAATCACATCTGTGAATCATTTTCTGGTCATTAGAGTGATTCCTCCCAATCAGTGGGGTTGATTATCCTAGATTGAGCAGTTACCCTAATTGAGTGGCATATTCTGCAGTGATACGGTCAGATTTTAGAATGGAAGAGTAATATCTAGATACTCTGCTTGTTAATGCCTGATAATTTGTTCCCGAGTAGCTATTTTTATCCTTTAGATGTTCTTGATAGGCTAATGGCCAGCACTCCTTATAACGGAGAGTGTTATGGAAGCTGCAATTGAGGAGATCTTTCTTGCATCTATTTATCAAGTGATGAATGAGAGTGGTGGAACCTATGTCGATTAAGGATTTGACTTCAGTCTAATAATCTCATATCAATTATTTCCTTGCTGTGTTCTTTGTTCTGTAGTTTCCAGAAGTAGTCACATGTCCACTTTCAAGCTCTTTTATGTGCAGCACTAGACAAAAATTATCTTTTACATACAGTAATTAAGTCATTTACATAGAAACAAACCATTTGGGTGGTCTTTGTAACTCATGTGTTTAAACCTGTTCGTGCATGCAAGTCGAGGCACAATATCTTCTAGGACATAAGTATATGACTCTCTAAATTGGGTTGCATGTCTTGTCTGCGTGGTAGGGTTTCTCCCCGACCCTCATGTCTGATGACTGCTGAAATCTCAGCAGAGGAGAATCATCAAAAGGCAGGCAGGGAAATAGCATGTTGCTCTCAAGATCAATCTGATGATTCTACATCTGTGGATGGCAATTCAGTTTCTGGACATTCTAGTTGTGAAGCGTTATCCACTAGAGAGGGTTCTCAAGATGCTGGAGCAGAGCTGATGGATATTGATGTTGAGACGAGTTCTGTTTCACCGAAAATTCCGAACGGTGAGATAGAGTCGTTGGTTGGCCAGAAGGGGAGATCTGTGACACATGGGGCTGTTGAGGATCCAGATGAGATCAGCCTTAAGATACCTTTATACAGTCCGAAGATCTCCAGTTCAGAAAACGGGCCATCTGCTGCAAACAATTGTAATGCTACTGGGGAAGATGGAGACGTGGATATGGTAAATCTGGAGTCAGGGCCATCCATTGCAAAGGATGGTGCGGTGTATTGCAACGGACATAAGGATTTACGAGTAGTTTCTGGTGCTGATCTTGACAACAATCTGACAGCTGAATGTTCAAGTGGTATAAGTAGATACCGAGAGGACCATACGAGCAATGGCGAAATGGCCGAGTCCAGTCCTGAAGGAATTGGAAGAAAAAAATAAATTGCCAATGGTTCCCCGTCAAAATCAGGTTTTGGTGTTCCCACTTGTAAGCTAGTTTATGTCTTTCCCCGACTTCATGGAAAAAGGAAGTTGGGTATTTTTTTTTTTTCATTTCCGGGATTTTATTATTTTCAAAAATCTCGGGTCTTTTACTGTCATTTTTAGTTCACTCGTGGAAGTGAATGCCGTCTTCTAGTGGCTTGACAATCACAGGCAATTCATTCTTCACTCCCCCTGGGTCAATACTAGTAGCTGCGATTCACTGATTCTGTCTGTGTGTCGTGTATTGATCTGGTCATATGCATTGGTTTTCTGTCTTTGGGTGTGTGCCATCTTTAAGAGGCCATGCGCAAGTTTTGGAATGGGATCTTCAGGGTGTGGATCAACCATGGGCACGGCGGTAAGGAAGGTATTGGTCTGCCCGCGACAGCTACTTGTCGGGCCTTCGTATCCTGAATTATCATGTCGTTCGGTTTTGTGGGTTAATCAGAGCCCATTTCGGTCTCAAATATCTTGTAGTAGGGGCCTAGGTTGGCTGGGCAGCATGCATTTGGGCATCACGAGCCAGGAACGCCCCCGTTCAAGGCCAACCTGATTCTTATTGGGCCTTGTTGGTTGGGCTACCATGTCTTCTGGTTTAGTGGGCCTACATGTTCTCAGTTTTGGTTGCTGCTTCTCGGCCTTGGTGAGGGATTCGTTTTTTTTTCGTCTTAGAGATCTTGGTCTTAGTTCACTTTCTAATTTTGGGCCTAACAAGGTCGGACATGGGCCCACATATGCCTAAACCGAGGCCCAGATTGGGCACATTTTAAGACCAGCCATGGAACCGAAGCTCAACGTTCGGCCCAAATTTTGGGCTTTAAATGGGCCCAGTAAGGCCCAAGCTCGGGCCCAGATCAGTACAAACCAATTCCAGGTAAGGCCCATTTCATAAACCCTGAAAAGGCCCAACATCTTTGCCCAGATCAACCTCAACCTGACCTAGATAAAACCAAACCTGGGCCCAGATTAGGGCCCATTTGAGGCCCATCGTGGTACAGAAAACTCGACCAAAGGCCCAAATTTCTGCATGAAAAATGGGCCCACCCAGGTAAAGCCCATTTCTAAATCCGTCAAAGGCCCAACATCTTGCCCAGATCAGTCCTAACCTGGGCCTAGATGTGCCCAAATATAGGCCCATATAGGGCCCAATTGAGGCCCAACAGTGTTGCAGAAAAGTAGACCTTAGGCCCTCTGGATAAAAGGGCCCAAGTTCAGGCCCAGATGCAGCTCAGATCAATCCCAACCTGGGCCTAGATAAGCCCAAACGATGGCCAAGATAGGGCCTTTGAGGCCCAGCAATGGGCCCAAATTATGGCCAAGATAAGCCCAAACGATGGCCAAGTTCGACCCAGTAAAGCTCCAAGATGGGCCCAAATAAGCCCAAACCGAGGCCCAGATTAGAGCCCATTCGAGGCCCATCCGTGGCAAAGAGAACTCAACCTTCTACCAAAACTCTGGGCTTTACAATGGGCCCATAAAAGCCCAAGTTTTGGCCCATATCGGCCCAAATTGAGGCCTGGAAGTGGCCTTATATCAAACCAGCCCAAAAGGCCCAAGTTTGGACCCAGATCGATTCATCCTGGGCCTTGATAAGCCCAACCGAGGCCCAACCTTGGACCCAAAGTTGGCTCGACTGCTAAGCCCATTAAGCCCAACTCTTTATTCTTGGTCCTAGCTGGGCTGGGCCTTAGTGGGCCTGAGAAGGCCCATTTGGGCCCAAATTGCTATTGTGATTAGTGGTCTGGGCGAGCTTTTTTTGGGGCGTAATTGGGCCTTCCTGAGACCATTTAGCGCCCAAATCTCATTTGGGCCTTTTGGGATTGGTGGGGCTAAATGTCCCTCTTCCGGGGCATGTGCTGCTTTCGGGCATTTTAAAGCTGGGCCTTTATATCTTTTCGGCTTGTTGGGCCAACATGAGCCAGCCCAATTACTGTTTTTGATGTTGTGTGGGCTGAGCTGGCTTGTCCTTTGTCCTTAGCGGGTCTGAACTGACCGAATCATGGCCGGATTGCTCCTTTCGTGCCTTGGTGGGCCGAGCTAGCTCGTCTTCGTTTAATGGGTCTGCGGGGCGCAATTTGGGCACAAATCACTCATTTTCTGTGTTGCCTCACGACAGTGCCATTTTTTTATTCTGCTGTCCCTGTCAATGTGTTTTTATAACTAAATAAAAAATTAAGGCCTCTACTCTCGAGGCACATGCATCACTAACTTCACCCCTTCCGAATATGCAGTAATAAAACAGAGTCTAGTTAAGCATTGCATTTACCTACTTACGGCTAAGCATCAAGCTAATGTCGAGCTCATCATCTGCCTCAAGGAAAATTTATGACTGTCGAGCTGCGCATGAACTGAGCTTCAACATTTGAAGCAGACCAGAATCCTTGATCTTACATTCAGATTAAGCTTTGATCGATCGCAATAAGCACAAACAGGCTACATGACATGCCTCGTGTAGATGCCTTCTCCAGGAGAGCTTTCACACCCAGTTACACTAGCCAACTGATTATCTATATATAAAGCGTTCATTCAACTTAGGGTACCCTTCTGACCAAAAAAAAAAAAAAAACTTAGGGTACCCTAACCCATTTCCTATAAAATGGATGCTTCAAGACTTAACAATATTGAACAACAAAAGCAAGACCTCTGCATATCAAGAAAATTCAAAAGAAAAAATAATAATCAGCAGCCTAGACTGACTCACATGGGTGCTCTGGAATTGAACCTAAGCAGAATGACAGGGCGTAATAGATGCCACTAACCGCGTTGTGTGTGCAAGCTCCCAGGTCGATTCTGCAAAGGAACAGCACGGTGACAAATACATTCAGTTGCTAGTTGGACTTCTTATGCTAAAAGCACACCATGAAAAAGGATCCATAGGTTGACACTGGACGCAGAAGTTGATGTCTGGCTGCAGACTTCCAGACGTGACATCTCTTTTTCCTTCATTTTTACTTTTTGTGGGCCTCAAGATCTGTCATCATCTTCAGTTGCTTGCTCTTCTTTTGCTGATATTTTGCGTAGGAGTACCACACACCCCCAGCAGTGTTAATCATCAAGCCAGTCACATTTAGGGCATGTACTTGCACACCACCCAGCAAGAAAAAACCAAGAGTCTGCACGATAAAGCAAATTCTTTATGTCATGCATAAGTGAAAGTATCTCAGGGGTAAGCAAATATTAATTGGAAGGAAGAAAGTGTTAAAATGAAGAATCTCTTTCCATCAAATAATATCATTGGAACTAAAGGTGTTCTACATACCGTGGAACCAACCCCTTTGAGGACCCCAACTATTGTTGTTGTGAGGGCAGAGTTGACAATGGTACACAAGAACATAGTGAAGTTGAGAACAATCCCCATGATAAGTGAAAGAACGAGCAGCATCAAAAAGGATAGCGAATTGCTCTGTTTGTAAGACAAATAGTTCCATTAGTCAAAGCAATCATTTAGATATACTGAAAGATACCTGTCCAGTCCTCAATAGAGGTAGTTCCCATTAACTCACCGAGATAACCATCTCATTAGTGATAAATGGAAATGAAATTTTAGTTTTATCAACATATCTAAAATACACTGGAGAAGATTTCACTTTTCATTTTCGTTGTGAGTCTTTCCAAGACTTGTTCCTCATTTTCCTTCCACGTGCTTTTGAGTCTTGCTTCACATAATGTCTTCATTACACATGTTTGTTTTCTCACATCTAGCTAAAGACCACATACATGTGTATGTGAAAAACAAATTGTGGAGAGAGAATGTTACAGATTCAAAATAGTTTAGGAAATAAATTTAAAACATTACATGATGAAGGAGATTGAAATTCAAAATTGGAATGTAAACATTAAGGATTTGTGAACTATGCAAATTAAAGTCTTGCACATTAGAAGGCTATTGAGTGTGTGTCTAGAACCTTGATTACTTCCAATTAGTCAGACTCAAAATGGAGCTAAGCCAATTCAAGATACATCCATATTCTGCTAAAATAAATTGAATTCCACCATCCAAATTGTAAACAGATAAAAGAGCGACACAAGGAAAAGGCAAAGAGAAAGAAACGAGGAAGATCCTAACCTTTGCAATCAACAATGATAGAGAATTTGGAAACTCCCCAGTGGCAATGATAAGAAAAAGCAGGACTGGAAGAGAGAGAAAACTGTTGTAAAACATTATCTCGACAGATGAAAGTCCATCTTCTGCACCAGACCTCTCCACTAACACAAGGTACATAGTCTGCATTAAATGCAAGTTGTTATTAATGGGCTCAAAATCTTATGAATGTATTCAAACACATCTTTATCAAAATTGAACATTATCCTTTTTCCAATTCTGAGATTTAAAGCAAAATATGAGTATCGAAATAGCCATATAAAGATGGAAACTCGAGCTCAAACCTGAAAAAACACAGAAGTAAAAGCCATGCTATATCCATAAAGATCAAAAGAAAAGTCTCCGATGGCTGCAATGAGACATCCAGCAGCAATCAAAAGAACAGAGAGAGTAACCTGAATTATGACACAAGAGGCCACGTTAAATCACTTAAATATAGGTTGAAAAGGCCAATGCCAAAATGTTCAAGCCAAAAACTGAAAAACCACACCTGTGTAGTTGGTGTTCCCTTTCCCCGAAAAAATCCAGCTAACAGTACAGCGAGTGGTGTGAGCCTCTTTATTGCAATATACATAGGGATATTAACTCCTTTCAAACTTGCTAGAGCAAATGCAACATTTGCATTGTAAAACAGTGACACCAGGAGGAGCTTTTTGGCAGTTTCCAAGTTCACTGGTCGTGCTTTTGTGTATCCCGTGACTCTCCCTAAGTGAATAAGCAATGTTGTAGCCAATTGCTGAGGCACCACAAATTAGAAAAGTTACAACATTGTCCATCACAAATGGAAATTACAAATGTGCTCAAACTCCCTTTCAGGCATTACCTACCTGTAAAGTAAGAAGGGTCATCGAGTGCACGTACTGCATAATAACTGCCTTGTTAATGAAGACCATGGCCATCGAAGCAATCCCATAAGAGAATGCAGCAAAGAGACTGCATCGACATATTCACAAGGAGCTAACGTAAGACATCGCTCAAAGGTACCAAAAACTCGAGACAGCTGACAAAAATACTGAACTACTTTGTTTTCAGGAAACGATTTCGGGTCATGGAAGATCAGTAATGCCGGATGATCACTCCAACTTAAATTACAAGATTTACAAGGACACACAAGCAGAAAAGTAGTTCGAGAAATCATTTCTATCACGGCTAAAAACTCCCAGTGCAAAACAAGCAATTGCGAAGGAAGCATCGTTCAATGCAACGAACAGGCGGCGTCATCATTAACACAAAACCAGCAATCGAAATGCCGACACAGCTCAATTCTATAAAAAGAAAAAACCCCCCGTGAATGAAGGCAACACCGCAAAATGCAGCACCACAACAGAAGCAGCATGGGGCGAATCGAATAGGTGATTTCATAATCGGAGTAAATTCTTAACAGATGCGAAGACGATCCGTAGGTCAAATGCATCGCTCGATTCATTCCAAAAGACGCAACAGATCGATCGGCCGAATGAAGTTCCTGATTTACACGAGAGAGATAGAGAGAGAGACACACACACACACACACACACCTTAAGAATGGAGTTGCGTCTGCGTCGCCACGATTATCCATGGCGGAGGCGGAGGCGGAGGCGAGAAGAGTACGCAATGCGCCTTATCTTCGAGACGAATCAAAGCGTTCGGGCGCCTCGATGACGGCCGATTCCCCCCATGGAAATCCACGCCAAACGTGCGCTCGCGGATTTCAAGGGATCGACAAATCTCGCCAACCACGGAGCAGGAAACACCGCCAGCGGCGGCGGCGAAGAATTCGAGAATGCAGAATCGATGGAGTCCGGAGAAGAAGAGATCACAGGGGGGGGGAGAGGAAAAAGCTTCAGGATTGGAGCGCGAACCGATTCCGCATGGACGGGGCGTGAGAACTTCCTAGGGTTTCCTGGATCGGGAAGCTCGAGGGCTTTTCCGTGCGGAGTGAAGTTGAAGTTGAAGTGTAAATTGGGGATGATTGAGGGGGGGAAGAAGAAGAAGAAGAAGAAGAAGAAGAGAGACTGGCGTGACAGTGAGCAAAGCACGCTTCTCTCCAAGTGAGCCGGTCTTTCTAATGCTAATTTTCTTTTTCCTCTCCTCGTATCGCGGCGAAAAAATAAATAATTTAAAAAGAATATTTCTTAAAAAAATATCGTATATATCATTTATAGAAATAAATAAACGAAAAATATATTCACAGTCCACAAACATAAATTATTGTTTTTCATTGATTTATGACGACCGATCATTTCCATTTTTAGAAATGATACGAGCGACCTTTCTCGGGAGAAATGCTTTCCCAAATCATTTACTTTTCTCGTGAACTAAGTAGAGCATACATGTCAATTCGTATTAATTATGAATTAATCGCGTTTGTGTTGTACGGGAGTCAAATTTCTCTCTAGTAATTGATGCCACGTACAAGTGATTAATTCGTGCTGTGTTAATGATTGCCACCTCACCTCGGTCTGTGAGCAGGTTGAAATAAATCAACAGTATTGTCACGTCTAGATAAATAAGGCCTCTTGCTTTGAAAAATCGAAAAAGCTAAAGTGGGCGTCGATGGTTCAATCGAATACTGCTTACGGATGGGGATAAGCGTCGTTCTAGCATTGCACCTGAAGATATCTTAAATGCAATCGAAAAATTATTGTAACTTAATTTGAATGCGTCTCTCTATATATATAAAGGCCGTCGAGGGTGTTGAATACTTCATTTGGAATTTGATGCTTTTGACCCTTCAACTTTTATTGTTCGGGCAATAGATTTTTTGAACTTTCAATTCGCTCAATTATATCTTTATTTATTGATAACAGTCCATGGAGGAGCAAAGGAGCTCTCCAGAACAAGGACCAGCTACATGAACATACTGCATCTTAAAATTTCCAACTTGAACTATGAACGAGTACAATCAAGTAGAACCAAGACTGAAGCAAATGAAGAGATGTCAGAACTTTGAGACAGACATCGGAGTTCTTCTGCCCGCCGAATATAGACCTTGCATGACCCCGATTGAGACCGCAATTGACGATTAGTTCGATCAAACATTTTGTGATGGCGAAGGTGAACCACGAGGGATAAGAAAGGTCACATACTGTTGGTACTGTATGTTGGTGTTGAGCGGCGGATTGCTATGATATGCTATTGATTGATATGCTTCTGGCGTCATATCAATAGTTCCTTGACACGAGCAGACGTCCACAATCTTCACCACCACCATCCCACTTCCGATGCACGCGACTTGGTAGTATTGGCCACAAGCATCGTCGTTGTCCCAAAGTTCTGTTACGCATCACTGCCACTATCATTACCCCTTGGTCTTCATAGCTAAAACAAGTAGCGGCGGTTGTATTCGAATCGAACTGCACACGAGATGCACAGACTGACTCACATCACCTCTATGGGATCTTTTATGTTCAGAAACCCATAACTTTTGTTACCCTTTGAATTATAATAAATGAAGTGAATAGTTTTCCGATCAAAAAAAAAAATGCTTATGCTCGTATGGTGAAAGGTAGAACGTACCCATCCCGTCTCTCTGAGCGGTGGTTGCGATTTAAAGTAAATAAAAATCAAAATGGGATTTTAAGTTATGTTAACGAGCATTTACGAGATAGTGTCTAGAGACACTTGTTAAGAATACTTAGTAAAGAAACACTCAATTTGCAAATTGTTCGCTTGCAAATGAACAAATCAATACATTAAGAAATTGTAAAATTTTCTTACTCGGTTGCTTAAGAAATGTCTAGTGACATGTCTAGCAAAACCCTAATGGGCATCGTGAAAGTTGTCCTAATTATAACTTCTCTCTTTGTCAAAGAGGAAAATTTTTTTACTTTATGTTTTCACCTCTTCAAGAGTAAAATTCACGGGGAGCTATGGAAAAAGCAGTAGGCATGCACTGTCATATTCAGCTAATCATGTACTTCCACAAAAAGGCTAGCACCTAACTATGTGACAGAAGAAACTCAAAATTAATGTTACGCCATGATTGCTCTTGAAGTGATGTACGAATCTTGAAAATGGCACTTGGAGCAGGATTCAAATAAGTATTGATACAGGCATAAATAAGACTTTGGTTAACTATAAACTATTAAAATTGGTAACTTTTAGGTGAGAAAGTTACTGACTCTTAGAAATTAGTGAATGTAGATCCCAAATCTTCCTAAACTATGATCATGAATTCCTGCTTGTTAGATGAACCAATCTAAAGCTAAAGTTATCAAGTAAAGGAAGTACTATGCACATTTGACCACAATAAAGGTGATCATTAGCCCGGCGGCCCGTTGGGCCCGATTAAGCCCGATTGGTCTATAGAGCAAATTATTGGAATTTAATTATGGGTTGATCTGGGTCAAGATTTTTAGGTCAGGTGCATTAGGCCCAGCTTGCTTTTTGATTGTTTTTAGACAATGATAAACTTCTTAAAAGAAGTGGTGCGTCGACGACTTTTAACAAAAGTAGATGTATAACGGGACATAAAAGTGTGAGCTACTACATTAAAGAATGCAATTGAAAACCGTACAAAATTACCAGGTGGGAGGAAGTAAACCAACATAAGGTTGTGATAAATCCGGTGAGCAAGCAAGTTCGAGATAACTTCAACATCACTACAAAAGATAGCAAATTGTAATATGAATGGCAGTGATCACTGGATTTAGAAATTAATCTCAATAAATAAGTAAGGCATTATCATTATCCAATGGTAGTAGTAGTACTATGATATAATAAGAAAGGGTGTGATTTTATGTAGAGAAGCCATCTTTTGCATAAATAATATATAGCAATGGAAAAGCTTATTGCAGGCGGGCTGGAGAAATATTTTGTTGTTCCCTAAACAAACATGTCACTATCTATCCCAGTCAATCATCAAATTATCTTCTAATCCAAATCATGTTCTTTGAAAGAGTATAATGAAGTGGTTGATTCTTGCTGATTAGATTAGGTAGCACTAAGCTTTCACTTAGACCAGAGTTTCGGGGCAGAAGAAAAAGCCCTCTTTGCTACTCTTGGGTTGAGTTAAAAATGCATATCTATATCCAAGCCTCTGTCATTGTTTACTGATGTAATTGATTATATTACTAAGATTGTCCAAAGTGTAACAACCAGGTCCGACGAGTACATAGAGTAATCGCCGGGACCAAAGGGCCTAAATAAAGATCGACTCCTAATAGCCTTTTAAGATGGCAAATGGGATATGAATGAACCGAACTATACATCGAACAGTGGGAGAGCGATTATGGGATATATATATATATATATATATATATATATATATATATATATATGTTGCTCTGGAACTCTAAAATTAAGCGTACTCAGGTTAGAGCACTACAAAATCGCGGGCTCAAAATATGACAGATCAAAGTGAACAATATTTCGAGTGAGTTAATAAAAAAATGTCACACAATGAGATAGCTTACCGGCACGAGTAACTCCAAAAAATTGAAAAAGAGGGTGATTCACTTAGGAGGTGAAGTTTATGTGAATTTGAAAAGACCAAAAAGAAAACCTATGTCAATTCAAAAGGGGCCCACGTTTAGATGGAGAAGCAACTTTCCTCGCAACTCCTCTTCAATGAAAGAAGCTTGCAAAGTCAATTACGTCTTGGCAACAAACAAGTCATTTGAGTCAAATTTATTTTTAAAATTACTACACATTGCCTAAAGGACTGCGAATGTTTATCAGTTTTGCTTTTGTTTTATTGCTACACGTTTGATATGTCGCAATAATCCGACAACGATCCAATGAGAAATTTCGTCTAGCTTTCCTTGGTGATAATAGCATCAAATCTGGTGCTTGGGGGCCACGTCGGCGGCTAGGCCATCGTAGTCCAGGAGTAGTTAGTCTTGTTTTTTGCTTATATGTTCAAACCCAACCAGTGTAACTTAGCTCCATCAGTATCAGAGAGAGAGAGATACACATATACACGGTACAGAGATATGGATTCTTCTTGTAGCAATGAGTTCGATGTGATAGTGATCGGTGGAGGCATCATGGGCAGTTCCACTGCTTACCAAACTGCCAAGAGAGGTCACAAGACACTCTTGCTCGAGCAGTTTGACTTTTTGCATCACCGTGGCTCTTCGCACGGCGAGTCTCGCACCATGCGCGCCACATACAAGAAGGACTACTACAGCAAGATGGCCGTTGAGTCTTCGAAACTGTGGAGAGAGGCTGAAACGGAGGCTGGCTACAGCGTCTATACCGGCACCGACCATCTTAACATGGGGCCGGCGGGTAGTGCTAGTCTCAAAGCAGTCATAGCAAGCTGTGAAAAGAACTTCTTACCTTATCAGATTCTTGACCACGGCCAATTCACCGACAAATTCTCCGGAAGGGTCAGCATACCGGAGGATTGGATTGCAGTGTATACCGAGCTTGGCGGTGTCATTAAGCCAACTAAAGCGGTGTCCATGTTCCAAGCACTCGCATTTCAAAAGGGAGCTGTGTTGAGGGACAACATGGAAGTGAAGGATATTAGGAGAGATGAAGTGAGAGGAGGCATAGTGGTCTGTACCACCAAGGGCGACAAGTTCTGGTGCAGGAAATGTGTGGTCACTGCTGGGGCTTGGACCAGGAAGCTGGTTGGTTCAATTGCTGGGCTTGAATTGCCAATTCAACCCGTGGACATCACAGTGTGTTATTGGAAGATCAAGGAGGGTCACGAGGAGAAATATGCCATTGGAGGCGATTTCCCGACGTTCTCGAGCTATGGAGATGTGAAGATATATGGGACCCCATCCTTGGAATTCCCGGGGCTGATCAAGATTATTCTGGACCACGGATGCCAGTGCGATCCGGATAAAAGGAAGTGGAGGCCCGAGCCAGACTTGGATTCCCTGAAAGAGTGGATCGAAGGGAGGTTTCTGGGACTGGTGGATGGCTGCGCACCCGTGTCCATGCAATCCTGTATGTACTCGATGACACCTGACGAGGATTATGTGATGGATTTCTTGGGAGGGGAGTTCGGGGAGAATGTGGTGATAGGTGGTGGGTTTTCGGGACACGGGTTCAAGATGGCTCCGGTGGTAGGGAAGATACTGGCGGACCTTGCGCTCACTGGGCATGCGGATGGGGTGGAGCTCAAGCATTTTAGGATTGGAAGGTTTGAAGAGAATCCCCAGTGAACTAACAAAAGCCAGTTCTCTATGTTCGACCGATAATCTGTGATTTGGTCTTTGGTTTCTAATGATTTATTCCCTCAATCACGTCCCATAAACATATACAGCTAGATGTATACCTGAGTTGTATGTGTGCAACATCTGCTATTGTTTTCTGCTTTTTCTTGGATGACCAAGCACCTTCACTGAGCCAAGTTTACTGAATGTTTGATACTATTAATGCTAGATAAGCGATCACTGTCCCTCGTTTTACTCAGCTAAAGAACTGTAATAACAGTGCATCATCCTTGGCACTCAATGGCTAGAAATCTCAGTCCAATTTTGAGGTGAAAAGGAAAAGATCATTAGTGACAGAGCCAGTGGACGTAATGACAAGAAACGAGTACGAAAGGTTAACATCGAATGCTTTTGAGCTGTTTCCTGACCCGACCGATATGTTTAGTCATGTCGAGTATGTGACCAAACTAATAGACAAGTACCAAAAACAATCCACCCATTACTATGAAGTGTCACTTGACAATCAATGCTTAAAGGATAGACAAAGCTCACTCAGGGAGAAGAAAAGGCGAAAACACATAAGTCACCCGGACACAACTTATTTCGAGACTGTGTATGCTTACAATTACATTTGCAAGAGCATTGAAGGGAAAAAAGAACTCCGAAAGGAGTTGATGCTAGACTTCGGTTGTGTTTCATTATTTGGGGAATGGTTCCATTCCATGAGAAGTTACTCTTGCAAAGGATCTTCCGGTTTCCAAATTCAGACCCTGCATGACATCAATTGAACCAGTTCAGATTTTTATAATGGCACTGATTGTATAACAATAGCTCAGCAAATTATAGGGAACAATGTTCACGTACTGTTGATAATTTATGTTAATAGCTCCGGAGTTTGTATCAGCTATAGATGCAAATGCCTCTTGTGACAAATCAATAGTTCCTCGGCACGCATTGGCAGGGCAGCGATCCACAATCTTCACCACCACCGAAGCGCTTCCATGGCATGGCTTTGGGATGCCTAGGTTCGTCCCGCTGAGGCACGTGACTTGGTAGTACTGGCCACAAGCAGCACCACCGTTCCAAATTGCTTCGCTGGCTGCTGCTATCATCACCCCTTGATCTTCAAATCCATAACAAGCGGATGCTGCATTATTTCAACACATAGAAAAGAACAACTTCTCACATCAGTCCAGTTGCACAAGATACCTTAACAGTAGGAACAAACACGACGAATGCCTTACGCTTGTATGGTGGGGTGTAAAAGGTAGCAATCCCATTACTCCGAGCGGAGACTCTAAAGAGCAAGATTGAAGTGAACCATAAGAATGCCATGAGAGACAAAACCAGGTCTGTCACTCGTGGTGCCATTGGCTCTATAGGTCGATATCGAGAATGTCTTAGCTGAGATGCCAAATTGAGCAACTGAAGACAATTGAGTGTTACTTCCAGTGATGGTCTGAAGGAATGAAGAGGGAGGGTTTATTTATAAATGAAGATCATGCAGCAAGTCGCATAGTTGACGTGGATTGCGCTCATCATTGTAAATGATTACAATGTTGCACTTTCAAATAACAACAAGGAATTAGTGTTTTCCAATGACAGAGGGTCACGCAGGCCTTAAGGAGTTCACGATGAACCATAATCTCTCTCAGATCCGTCAGCATAACAGAGCTTTATTTGCTACCGATGCAATGTATAACCATGAGATTAACTTGCGATGAGGCACTGCCGTCGCGTGAAAAATAACGGATTATGGAATTCAAAATAACATCCTGACGATTTTCAGATTTGGGATTATAAATGAACGATGTTAGCACAATTTCGACTAACCAAGTTACTGAAAATGTCGGCTTTATGCAGTGATAAATGTAGAAACCATTCCACAATGTAGTGATTCAGCTCCAAAATTGGAAAAATCTTGCAGTCTGGTAATTGCAGACATGTTTTAGATTCAATTTTGTGAATTATTTGATGTGGCAAAGAGGAAATATTTCCTTCTTTTAAACTTGGTCTATGCCGTAAGGAATATTTTTTGGTCGAATATGTCATGAGGAATTGGGAAGAAGCTGTTTTGAGGCATTGTATTTTGTCTCATTAGTACAATCGATAGTGGTGGAGACGACTTTCAGCGTCAGAAGCCAAGATGCAACTTACTCTGTTAGTGCAGTAGATGTGGTAAACCTGACAAACAGCATTGTGTTTCGATGATTTTGCGGTATCAAATGAATAAACTTCCAGTATATACCAGCAGCTACATTACAGGAGAAAGTCCAATTTTGCCGTGCGCTTCCAAACTCCCAACACATTGCTCTCAATCTCAAAGATGTAAATCTTGATTATAGCATTAACTGGTGAAAAGTTATGCTTGCGCATATCCTCTTTTTGGGCCTATCTGCTAATTCATATACCTCTCATGTTAGGCTTAGCGATTGTCTTTGGTTGTTTATAACTATATATGGAGGGAAAAAATACGATAATGTCTCTAGTGCTTGATTTTTTCTTTTGATAGAACAGAATGACGGAATTGAGAAACCAATGTTGGCGACTCTTCCGTGAGTGTCATTACATCACGGAGTATCTAATTTGAACCATGAAAATTGGCCACAAGGTCTAGACCATAAGAGAGAACCCCAAGAGCCTAAACACTGGATAAGCAGGCCTGTTCATAGTAGTGCCATTGGAATGCTTGTGACATATAAGCATCAAAAGGACTACTGTCTCAAGCAGGTTCGAACTGGAAAGCCATAAGAGAGGATGATCCCTTAACCTTATGTAATAGGCTGACCGCCTCGCCGGGATCTTTCATATCGTATCTTGAAAGGAATATGTACATCTTTAGGCCTTATTTCTTGAATGATAATGCCTCTTATCTACTCTTTTTTCAGGCTTTTGTCGTCTTCTTTTTTTGGGTCGGGCTTGATCAGAGGCCAACTGAGCGGCCGACCAGACCTAGCTGGACGCCTAGGGCCACCACGGAATGCTCGACCCTAGTTGTCTAGCCACCGGACGCCTTCCAAGCATCCAAATCCAATCCTCTATATGCCTGTCTTGGTCCTACAACTTTTCAATTCACAATTCAGGCCATTCCCAGCAACAAGTCAAGTCGGATCTTCACCAATCGAGCTCTAACTCGAGACGTAATCTCAATGTGTTTGCACATTCGTCGTGTTTGAGTATAGGACCGGAGTAGCATTGAAACATTGTCAGCGTGGGTTCTGGTAACGAAGATTGGTGCACCTCGAAAGATTATTAGGACCATTCCAATTGTTTGGACAATCGTCTTTCCCCTAAAGTTCAATTAGCTAGCGCAAACCAACTCGGAAACCATATTAAGCATTTTCATTTCTCCCTCTCACCTATTCACGCCTTACATGCACGTGAAGGCAGGCACATCTAGAAAAGCAAAAGCAAGATAACAAGAAGAGAAAAAGTGTGGAGATTCAAACTCTTGTCGTGATGAACTATACATTCACTCTAAACCAATCTCAATCCATTAATATAGCATAATTCATTGAAGCGACAGTGACAAATGACCAACTTCCATCAGTATATACATAATATTTTCTTATCTCAGTTGACACACACGGTTGCATGCACAGCAAAGAAATCAGATACGAAGTGCATACGCAGGAATGTTGTAGAGAACTCTTTCTTTACTAATGGCGAGGTTCTTAGTCAAATTATGAACCATCTAATCAATCGGCACATCCGTGGATACATGTCAGTCTTTCACACTCCTGAAAACAAGAAACAAATACTTAATAGATTATACAAATAATTCTTGACATACGCAAGTGTCCGCACCAATATCGGTAAGTGACATCTTTAACCGATATAGGGTCAAGCGCAAGAGCACTTGCGCTCTTGATGACAAGAAACGAAAGCACCTCGACAGGACACCTTTCCGTCCCATCTTGAGAAGGTTGTGAGAAGATGGGACCTAATCACGAGTCACAAAGATGGTGATGCTAGCTCATTAGTCCACTATCTTGTTTAGAATTCTGGGATAGAAACCCCACCAATTGTCTCCCCCGCGTGATTCTCATGCTGGTCCTGGCCTCTGGTTCTGGACCAGGATGAAAGATATCGCTGAGCCATTCAAGTTTTTCTTTCTCTTTTCTTTAGGTGTGTGATGCAAACATCTACACGTACAGAGACCTAACACGAATGACAACCACATCAGCCTAAGACAAATCCTGAGCTTTGTCATTAGTCAAAAGACCCGTGGCTCTTGAAGGATTGGACACGGTTAAGTAAAACACTGGGAAGGTGTCAAAGGATGATTGCACTCTGCATGTCACATCTACGGTTCCTATAAAGACGCAGTGCTGATTACATTACGTACATCTTTTTCTTTCACCCTTTTTTTCTAAGTTGATTAATCTTTGGCGTTCTAATATTTCCTATCCATATCAACCTGATCTTTGTGAGCTTGACTTACATCTCATGTAAGATTAGTGAGGATCCTGTTAAAGATTAAGGTAATAATAAACTCTGTGTCTTCTCATGAGCTAGATTGTTTCGAGGAAGTTTACTGCGATGGACATCCGTGCAAGAAAAGGGTTTTCAAAATTTCAGTTGATCTTCGAGGAAAGTGCTGAGAATCTGACCGGTGACGATTAAACAAAAGCATGTTCACACACAGATTCCAAAAGCACCAAACGGCTAAGTACTGCAAGACTGGACGAGTCACGTGGTGGACTCACTGTCAAATCAAAGTCATTTATAAGGACAAACAATCGCCGTCATTACGCATTTCAATGCCGTCCCCAGCTCATAGATTGAAGAGAGATTCCCACTTTTCGAAAAAGAAACAAAAGAGACTCCCGTTTTGCGTTCTTGTCTGATTCTCAACCCCACAGGTCTTACGTAGATCAAACCTTCAAAAAAACGATTCCCTTCGATGGTTTTAGGTGTCATGCCATTGGACTCATACGTGCATTGCTAGCGTAAAATCAAATTAGTGTGTATGGGTCATCAAGTCCTCGCATGCCAAGTGAGATCAAGAGAGCTTCACAACCAGAATCTGATCCTAAACATAACGAATGCCCGAGCAATTCCTATGAACACCCCGTGAGGCGATATCTGTTTCAACAGCACTGCTGATTGCAGACCATCCAGATGAGTGCTCAAGAATGACTCAATTTAACACCATTGCTTATGCAAATTAAGAGTGCGGTAAGTAACAGCCATCGTATCATTGTTTAACATCGTTTGTTA